ACTCCCTGTGAAATTATTCTTTCTGGGAAGCTGTCATTTTGAAGTAATCAACGAAAGAAGGCATTTCCAACGGTGATTCTTAAGAAGCACCGTAGGAAAATTTAAATTAGTAGTTCGTTTTGTTATTCAGCGCAGCGCGCACAAGTATTGGAACGACGCACACGCGCGCGCGGTTGTTATAATTCGTCGGATCAGTGCGCGACGTCGCGTATAGCTGCAATTCAAAACAATTCAAAACATGATTCAGTAACTTTTGATTTGAAATTGAGATCTTAGAATGCTGTTTTTCTCGGAATATACAGCTGAAGCTGAGCTGAAACTTCATCAAGTAAGTTGTTCAGTATCCTTCATTAGATTTTGAACACTTTTGTTGCTTCAAACGAACAAAATGCACTAATTACAAATGATGGACTATAGCTTTAAGGACGGGTCATAATGGGGACATTCCTCCACACATAGAGCAAGTGGCCCGCTTGACTGCACAGCCTTTGTGTGGTAGCGGGACTGCACAAAAGCAGCAGCTGTGGAACTACCCACTAGCCGTGTGCCATACCGGCATACGACGCACAGTCAATTCTACGTTACACAAAAGTATCGTTTCTTAACAAGCAATTAACACGACCAAGTCCATGCAAAGAAAGATACGAAGTTGTGAAAGGGAAATTCAAAAACAAAACGCACTGTGGGCCGAGTAAGCATCTCTTGACACTGCTTGAAAGGGAACGCTGGATGAAGCTTTTCAAGTCATCATGCCTTTACATTTGAAGCAAGATGTGAGCCCCCCTCCCCCTCCCTCTAATAGTGTTAGTCATTGTGTTTCCGGATTCTCGAGAATTCTTTTGAGAAATTAGGAACACTTTGGGGTACCCCTCTCTCCCAAATCGTGCATGGTAATGAACATAACTTTCTGTTCTGATGTGCACTGATCCAGCAAAATTGATCAAGTCCATATGTAGACCTTAATATGCAAATTACACAGACAATATGCATATTTTAAAACATCGGCCTTGAGGGTGCTCATAGTGATGGAGATAGATTAACATAATATTCTACACCGACCACAACAACAAAAATAAATAAGTAAATACAAACAAACAAACAAACACCAACCACCCCCCCCCCCCAGAAAAAAAGAAACAAGATCTTCATCGGTTTACGTGTTTTATTACACATGCTGAAAATAACGTTTTGAATTCCAAATGTGTTCAAGTTGTTATTGCACATAATATTAACCACTTGCAAACGTACCCCCCCCCCGGTAAAAGAGTACATGTACTGTGAAAATAGGGAGGGTAAGGCCAAAAAAAGTCTCCGGTTTCTGGTATGGAGCTTGCCCAAAATGTGGTGCGGCGACGCGGCTTTGTTTTTTTTTTCAAATGTCGGCTGATGACTGCAAATGGTGCCCGCCTAACTTGGTGCAAATATATGGGAGTCCAGAGAGACCACATAAAGCTTATTCTCGATCGTAACCCCACATTACAATTGTGCAGCAGGATTCCAGCATCTTTCATTGAAAAAAAAACTTTTTCATTTTACCGACGCGCATGGCTACGGCGACGCGCGCATACCAGAAAGCGGAGACTTTTTTTGTTACCTAAATGTGTTGTGGAAATCTGGTATGATTTACGAGTTGTTCTGAACTTTTTTAATTTACCGGGTGTACCATTTTTTGTTGACACGTATTCTAAAGTTTTCTTAAAAAAAAAAAAAATAGTGGCAGACTTCTTGGGCAACATGTCACGCGCTTTTTGATATAAAAGAGCAGTATTAAACCACCGCTGTTCATGTCATCAATGGTTTATCAAAAGATACTCTCACGCAAGCCGAAACTGAAAAGGGTGAATAAAGGACAAAGAAAGGGTCAGGGGCTACAGTGCACGTCTGCTGAAAAAAAATCCACTTCAAGGATTCTTAAACCTAACGAATTCAATGGCGGATCTACGGTGGGTTTAGGGGCTCTAAACACCCTCTGGGCCGCAAAAACTAGGAAAATCATTTTGAAAAAAAAAACCTACAGCAATTGCCTAGACTACCCCCCCCCCCCCAAAAAATACTTTGTTCTAACGAAAGACTAATTTGTAAAATCCAAAACCAACATTTTTTTCTAATGCAAAAACACCACAAACGCCAAGAACAGTCTCTGTGACAGGGTGTGTTTAATTTTTGTGTATACAAAATATTTCTGATTTCGCCTGCGTAAGAGAATCCAAAAAGGGTCAGGTGTTTGCGTAGCTTGCCAGTAGTTAAAATACAGCAGGCACAATGGAGATGCAAATGAGAGCAAGTGCAGCGAGGACGAGTCAGTGACTGGTCAATCATGACAGAATATGCAAGTGACGTCAGTAACATTTGCATATAACTGACACGTCCAGAGAACGTTCTTGGCGTTGATCCAAATTGCAAACTGCAATATTTAATGGATATTGGAAGGGAACTATCGTGTACTTTTTTTGGTAAATTGAGTTTTTCTTTCCAGTGAACAGATCATAATATTATGATCCATCTATTGAAATGAGCTAATCGGTCACAATAAACTAAAAGGTCTGCTTGGTAAAGTCAGCAATAAAAATAAGTTTTGCAGTTGCACCCTATGAAAACAAATCTCTCTTGTCAGTTTGTTTGGTTCGGAAAACTCACAGCAGAGTAGAAAATGACCAAATCGATTACAGTTGTATTTCAAACTTGCAATTTTGTTTTCTCTCCTTCGATTTCTTCTCTGGAATCCGTCAGGGTAACTTTGATTATTCAACTGGATTTTAAAAAGATATGATTCATTTATCGATGAAAATATTCACCCCTTCCTCTCAAAATGCCAACCCATCCCCCGGAACAACGCAGTGTGCTTCACAGTAGCAGTAAATTCGCAAAGCTTGCGTAAAATCAGTCTAGGTCCAACAATGGATTTTGCTTTTATTCCACAAATGCAGCCGGTCCCGGACAAGAACGGCAAAGCCACCGTGGCAGTAGCCAACGCTATCAACAAGATGAAAAAACTCCATTCTTGGTAAGGCCTAAAAAAAAAAAGTGTTATGTTGGCGTAACCCGACCGACCCTAAAATTGCGGCCGACCCTGGATATTTTTTTTTTTTTGGAAGGGAAGAAATATCATTAAAATCTATAGAAATTAATTTTCAATACGTTTTCAAACCATTTCTGACCGTTTTCTCCTCATTGTATGACGATAGCGCGCGTGGAACTTTGGAGTGCACAATGTTTTGCACCTTCCTCTCCATGACACAACGAACATGCAGAAGATCGCGAATATGCATACGCGCAGGCCTACAGGCAGTGCGCGTGCGGAGATCGATGCACCATGCATGCATGATAGATGCACATGTACATGTACAGTACATGTATAGCCTCGTCCTAGACTGTTGCACGGCGCGAACTGCTACATACACTACTGAAAATACTTCGCTATTTATTCCATGTTAAAAAAATAGTTCATTATAATATAAATTATTTTAATTAATTTTCCACTATTTTACACGATAACAATTGATATATATTTATTCTAAAAATGGTAAACTATTCTGTAACCCCGGCGGCCGACGCGACCCGGCCGGCCCCCGGCCCGTGGTTAACGCGCGTACGCCGTCGCATCATGGCGCCCGGTACCGAAGCGTAGTGTTTCCATCAAGGGCAAATGGGGATCTTCGGTCATTTGCGACCGTTTAATGCGGATAAATTTGAGTCTAGAGCTGGGGGTAATCGCCCAGAGCTGTGCCGATTGTGTAAAAGCGGGTTACACCGTGCTAAAAATACGAACTTCAAAGGAAGAATCGGGTCCATATAAAGATGTCGATGCAGATGAAACGGCTAACATTTTTTCTGATTTTGGATTCCGCTTTTTGATATGTCACTCAGAGTTTAAAAGTATACAACTATTGTGTGTAGCCTTGTTTTCTTTTGTTATCGTGTACTACCGGCTTAATGTCATTTTCGTTGCTGGGATTACAAAAAAAAAAAAAAAACACCGACCTACCTACCCTATTTTTTCTGGCCCGTTACGCCAACATAACTTCTTCTTTTTTTTAGGCCTAACTTTGGCAGGGCTACCCAGGAAATTCCGAGCATACCTCATGCGCAATGTATTATAGCTAATGCGCGATGAATGATCGGAATTTCCAGGGTAGCGTTGCCAAAGTTCGCAAGATTGGAGTTTGCTTCACCTTGTTGAAAGTGGCCTCTACCACCATGGCGGTTTGACTGCGCTTGCCAGGGATCGGAACCGGCTGCATTAGTACCAACCAGCCTTGAATCAATGCTAGCGTATAATTCACACAAAAAAGTGTTTCAATTTAAAAAAAATTCAAATACTGGGTCCTTCGCCTCATTAATTGATCTTGATCGATAAACAAATATGGAAAGGTTATCTTTACAAGAAAAATCCTTGCCAAGGTACGTTTTGCGATCGAAGAGAGAAAAGATAGGCCTGCGAGTCGGTTCTGGACATTCACGTCATGCAGGTTGCATGATAAAAGGCAAGACACAAGCGACCAGCTTACCTGAATGAGTTCGACGAAAGCCGTGCAGTTCCACAGACGAGCTGTTTGCTGAATGAAGCCAATATACAAACTCACGTTCCTTTTAAAACTTGTTGTGCATATACTGACTGCCCCTTGCAGTATATTACAATACTGCCTCTGGCAATATTACAATTCATGACCTGCATACCAATAGTCATACCCAGGTCAAGTTTGATGCCGGTGGTTCATGATATAGCGTGGTAACGTCGAACGCCACAATGAAACATAATGACGTCACTTAAATCGCTTCGCTCTATAGCGCTTTCGCATGAACCTGTGAACCGGTGTCATGCCCTAAACTGTCCAGTGCGATTAAGCTATTCATAAGATGAATTTGCGTCGGGCCGATGTACATCAATTGATTTATTAATATAATTAATGAACATCAATTTACATTATTGATTTACATCTTATGGGTAGTTTCATTGCGGTACCCGCATATCAGATTCGAACCAGCCAACCGATCCCGCAAGCTCGGTGGTCGAGTGGTAAGATATCTGCACTAGAAAGCTGCAGGAGGTCGTGGGTTCGAGTCCCACCCGAGTGATTTTTCCAACTTTAACTCGGGGAGGTAACACACTGAGTAGGCAGTCAGTGGCCGTGTCACGCACACAGCCATGTTTGACCTCAGTTTCTTGTCCCGAGGTCAAGCACGCAGTGAAGAAACGGCAAGGCTCAGTAGATAGAGGAAAGTATACGCTTCATTTTCATGTGAAACGCGTGCAGGAGACCTCTAACGTTTGGTCCGAATCGCCGGTTGGAAAATGAAGACTTTTGCGAGATTTCATGATTTGCAATCACATGTACGCGTGTAAACGAACGTAAGTACGCCGACGTACGTACGTTGGTCTGAAAAAAATTGTGAATAGCACGTGCTAGCGTGCAATGAATGACTTATGAATATTAAACAGGCCATACTGGAGCTCGACCAATCAGTGGGCGTATGGGTCACAAGGTCACACCGCGTTTGGGTTCCTCGCTCTATGCTTTACAATGGCGACGATGTTTTCGCGTTGTGAAAAATGGAAGTTGTTGGAAACATTAGGTGTACATCGAATTCTTAAAATATAGGTTTTCCCGGCTATTTTAACACTATCACACGAATTCCTATATCGATACTTTAATTTCGTCCCCGATCATCGCCAAACTCACTTCTCAATTTGAATTTCAAAAAGCCACCACTAGATTTCATTTAAGGTTCAGTATAATTCAAATTGTTAGCATTCCGATTCGTCCAAAATCTTTGAAATTCGTCTCGTGAAGCAATCGGCGTTGAATTGACAATGCAAATTCGTTTTTTGTCATTCGTTTGAATGACAAAAAATGAGGAATTACTAACCTATATAGACACCACAAACAAAAAGCAAATTTTAAGGGCATGTTATTATTTAACCCTTACAATTTTTGGAAACGCAAATGATCCAACACCAGAACGAGACGGGTTGATCCATTATAGAGATCAAATAAATTACATGAGGCGGTTGGCCAGGGACAGCTCCCTGGCCCTCGGAGCAAGTTCGGGCGAGGACCAAGATTTGTGACGTAAGGTACGCCTGCCCATTAATTACAACTTGCGAACGCATCTATAGTCAAACGATAGTCAAATGTCATCACAAAACGTATTGATGCTGGCTCCTGCTGTGCACCACTAACCAGCGATGCCACTGTTCCCTGTGGGCTGGTTCGATCGAGTGAAGTTAGTCAAACTATCGTTAATCTTAACCATAGTCCTCGTCCGAAATATTCTCATTTCAGGATAAAAGAGTGTATTGCCAGACGTTTGGGAATCATTAATATAGGCCTAGTGCAATAACGTGTTCAATGGAATATCCAGACTGAATCTGCTTTTTAAGTGAAGCACTGTTTTTATTAACCCGAAAATACATTGGTAAAGATAAGCACGATCACGTGATCAAAGTCGATGCTTCCCCTGAAGTTTTCCGAAACACGTTTTCGCTGACACTCTGATAATGTATTAATGTTCGCGGTGGATCGGGTGTTTGTGGATGTCAGATGGTATAACACATTTATTTCCATCAAAAGGCCCATTTGTTATCAATTGTTAAATTGTTTAATTCATCAAACAAGAGCTGGGCCAGGTGTAATGCCCAGTATCTGCATGTATTTAAAGCCCAAATAGGCGTTGAGCGCATGCATTAAGTACGCACTTGGACGGGCGGGGGTTGTGTCATGACCCATCATCTATAAAGAGATGTCGGGGATCGTCAGGTCTGGGACCAGACTATTACATAATGACAATCCCGGGTGTTGGTCTCAGCTCAAATCGGCCCGTGTCACGATGGCCTATAGTCAAAACCTTACACACATTAAATGTTCCGACACACCAATGTTCCAAAACACCTATGTTCCGAAACACCTGTGTTTCGACTGCTCATGTTCCTATTAAACCCTAATCCTAACCCTAAACGGGCTAACACAATCCTGTGTGCGGGTTATCGGAACGTAGGGGTGTCGGATTATAGAGCAGGCACCCGTCAAAAGGCTATAGGCGTGCGTTGATCTGATAATGATTGAGCCTAATATGTCCATTGGTAGACAACTTCAGCATTGAGCGGCCTATAAAGCTTAGACCTGCAATACTGTTGAATGGGGCTTGTGAATGGGGTCAATAAGTGTTTGTCTAGCGAAGTTCAATGCAAAATTGCAAAATTGAATACACATATTAAGAGGCTTTTGCAATAGCAACATTGTCGAACAATATGTCCTATAAAAAAGGACAGAGACATAAGGGGGCCTCGTTGCGGGGTCAATTTTTCTTGTTAAGTCTTGTCGGATTTTCTTCAGGTGTGCATTTTTTCATTTATTCCCTGTCCACCTCACTACCTTTTCAAAAAACACAGAAGTCCACCATGGGTTCAATAAAAATAGGCATATTGGAGTACGTCCATGTCAGAAACGGAGAACCGATTGCGAAAGCTAAATTATCGCACGCAACACTGTCATTAGGAAAAACAGCATGAAAAAATTGGCTGTGCAGTTAAACTTCAAATTTGAACGCATTTGAGCTTAATATTGCTGATATGCGGTTGGTGTGGTTCCACATGCCTCCCTAAAATTTAGAAATTGTTGGCAATTTACAGTTATGATCAATACAGTTGCATGTCATTATAGCAATCAATGCTTCCTATAGCTTCCGGGGAATATAAGCTCAGGATCGAACAACCATGACATGTATTGAAAACCCATAGGACTAGGCGTTGTGCATGCACATGCGTCCATCAAGTATACACTTATTAGACGGGCGGGATGATGGAGGGGTGGGGGCAGCGTCATAATAAAGTTGAGTGTGACGGCGACTTGACCCATGATGTCGGCGATCGTCAGGTCAGGGAGCCAGACTATTACACAATGACAACCGCTGGTGTTGGCCTCAGCTCAATTCGGCCCGTATCACGATGGCCTTGTCAAAAGGTTACACACCCATGTTCAGACGCACCAATTTTCCGACACACCTATGTTCTGACTGCTCATGTTCCTATAGCCCTAACTCTTACCCTAATCCTGACCCTATAAGCGGGCTAACAGTCTTATGTGCGGGTTGCCGGTGTCACATGAAAATCCGACTCCTATGAAAATCGGACCCCTATTTCCCTATTATTGGTTGATCCCTCGCACGTGACAGGTCACTCTCCCGAAACGATCCTAAAAATAGCATAGTATTGTACTCACGCGTGCGCAATACTACCAATGAGTCCACATTTCATGGAGTCGGATATTCACGCTACACCGGAACAAAGAGGTGTCGGAACATGGCCAAAAGGCTAGGCGTGAGCCGGTCTGATAATGATCGAGCCTAATATCAATGTCCATTGGTAAAACAACTTGAGCGGCCTGAACCTGAGCAGAATGGCGTGCTTGGAATTAGTCCTGCACAAGAGCGACCAGTACGGGACTTGTGAATTGGGTCAACAAGTGTTTGTCCAGCGAAGGTCGATGCAAAAATTGCAAGACTGAATACACAGATTAAGAGGTTCTGCAGCATGACAATACAAACATTGCGTGGAACTATAAAGCGCACGTGTCCACCAGGACTGGCACTCACGGCGCTACATCATTATTACCCCTGCTCATTGGGTCCATGAAGCATTCGACCATCTCAGCTCCCTGGGGAAGATACAGCTCGATGCAGCCTGTTTAGGCGCAAGGAAGCTAATTCAATCACAATAACCATCTCTGCCCTCCCAGGTATATGGGGTGGAGAGAAGCAATGACTGGCAAAGTGCCTTGCCCAAGGGCACACGCACCATGACCCCAGGCTGAACTCGAACCCACAACCTGCAGCTTTACCCGCAGACCACGAATCCAATGCCCTTAACCACGAGGCCAAAGCACTTGACTATAAAACTTACAGAGACATACACGTTTTTGAAGGGCCTCGTTGCGGGGTCAACTTTTCATATGAGTCTTGTTATGTCGGATTTTTTTTCATTTACTCCCTATCAACCCCACCACTTTTCCAAAAACACAAAAATCCACCATGGGTTCAATTAAAATAGGCATATTGGAGTACGTCCATGTCAGAAACGGAGAACCGATTGCGAAAGCTAAATTATCGCACGCAACACTGTCATTAGGAAAAACAGCATGAAAAGATTGGCTGTGCAGTTGAACTTCAGATATTTGAGTTAGTGTGGTTCCATACAGCGGCTAGCCATGGTTCTCATCCTAGGGGGGCGTGGGGGGGGCTTGAGGTTACAATGGAGGGGCGCCCTAAAATTTCATCCGTGCCAAGAGGTAGACAAGTTTTTTTTCACCGGACACACCCGCCCTCCGTAAAATCAAATAGTGTTTATGTGTGTGTGGGGGGGGGGGGGGGACACCATTTATGTTCTTCCAGCTTATCATGGTAGCTCATAAGGCTGTGTTTTTCTCCGGATGCCAAATTGTCAGCTACGCCGCTGGTTATGATATTAATAAATTGATGGCCATTTACTGTCCTACAATATAGCAATATATTTTCAAGGGGAATAAAAGCTCAGGATCGAACAAACATGATAAAAATACCTGCAAATGAAATAGAGCGTGCAAATTGACCTCAAACAGCTGGGTGTGTATAAGCCTAAACGTCCTTTCGTTTCCTTTTTTGTTTGCATTTTTTGCGTTTGTTGTGCCTGATTAGGCCGATCCAACTGAGAACAACAAATAGGATACCGTAATTTTCGGAATATACGCCACGGCTTATACGTTGAATTTGCCCATGAAAATGTGTACTGCGGCTTATGCACAGGGCGGCTTATACGCCGAGCCTTGAAGAATAAAAAATAGGACATTTACATGTGTATTTAATGTACTGGTATAAGAAAACATCTGTTGCTGAAATGAATTATCAATTAAGAAAGTCATTAACAAACCGAAAGCACGTCCCACGAAAAGGTACTGAGCGGTAAACTTACGGCAGGCCGGCCGGCCATAGGCCTATGCGTGAGTGAAAGCTCACAATTTGACGCTGCTTGCGACCAGCCGTACGTGATAGTGCTGCTGCATGCGCTGTATTCCCGGCCCCATGCAGACCACACCATCATGTGG